ATCAGATCCACTTTGTTCTGGGTTTCCAGCAGCGCTGAGTCAAACTTAACAGGAACACACGAGAATCCCTCTGATGGTGATGAAAAAAATGATTTGAAAAAAGTTTACAGGAAAGAACTGCAGCTCAGGGATTAAATAAGATTTACAAACATCCAATCACTTTGGATTAAACTTAGCTACAGTTTGTACCAGTGGGAGATGATGTGAGTGTGAATGAAACTGTCAAGAGTCAAATACTCGTCTGAAGAATATCATAATACAAACAAATTCTGTGAACTGCATTTATAAATATGTTTTTTGACAGGCAATATATACAAAACTTCAGTTATGGTCGAAGGCTACTCAGTTTTTTGGGACTTTTGTAAAACTTTGCATGCATATTTATCTAAACATGTTAACATGTCTTTCTTCTTCTTCAGGGTTCTCCACAGCAAATCATCCTTCTCCATCTCTCTCTGTCCTCCCTCCAACTACCTCCATGTCCTCTCTAACTGCATCCATATATCTGCTCTTTGTCTTTTCTTGGCAGCTGCATTTCTAACATCCTTCTACCAGTATACCCACTGTCCCTCCTCTGGACATGTCCAAACCATCTCAGTCTGGCCTCTCTAACTTTATCTCCCAGTTGTTCAACCTGTGCTGTACCTCTGATGATCTCATTCCTCACCTTATCCATCCTTGTCACTCCTAAGGAGAACCTCAACATCTTCATTTCTGCCACTTCCAGTTCTGTCTCCTGTCTTTTTGTCCATGTCTCTGTCTCCAGACCATACAACGTAGCTGCTCTCACCACTGTCTTGTAAACTTTTCCTTTGACCTTTGCTGACACCCTTTTGTCTCAAATCACTCCTGAAACTTTTCTCCATCCACTCCATCCTGCCTGGACTCTTTTCATCACCACTTTCCCACACTCCCCATTTTCCTGGACAGTGGACCCCAAGTACTTGAAGTCCTGCACTTTTGTGACCTCTGCTCCTTGAAGCCTCACTGCTCCACTGGCCTCCCTCTCACTTACACACATGTACTCTTACTATGGCTGACTTTCAATCCTCTTCTTTCAAGTGCATACCTCCACTTCTCCAAGTTCTCTTACACCTGTTCCCTGTTCCACAGATCACAATGTCATCAGCAAACATCATAGTCCGCGGGGATTCCTGCCTGACCTCATCTCAGTCCATCACCAGAGCAAACAAGAAGGGGCTCATATCCGATCCTTGCTGCACTCCCACCTCCACCTTGAATCTCTCTGTCACTCCTACAGCACATCTCACCACTGTCCTGCTGTCCTCATACATGTCCTGTACCAGTCTAACATACTTCTCTGCCACTCCAGATTTCCTCATACAATACCACACCTCCTCCCTCGACACCATCATATGTTTTTTTCTAAATCCACAAAGACACAATGGAGTTCTTTCTGACCCTCTCTGTACTTCTCCATCAGCATCCTCAAAGCAAAGATGGCGTCTGTGGTGTTCTTTCTCAGCATGAAACCATACTGCTGCTCACCTCTCGTCTAAGTCTTGCTTCCACTACTCTCTCCCAGATCTTCATCTTGTGGCTCATCAACTTAATTCCCCTGTAGTTGCTACAACTCTGTACATCACCCTTGTTCTTAAAAATGGGCAGCATTTATATGTGTAATAATATTTATGATAACATACATAGTTTACATGTCAGATTTACATAATAAACAATATTTATATATTGTAAAAAGTTAAACGTATGCATCATTAATTGAGACCTTAAACATTTCTCACTTGAGTTTTTGAGGCTCAATGTGATTTATCTGTGTAAATAAAAGTTGAATGAACTATTGAAATCAATTTTTAATCATTTTAATATTTATTTTTTAGTTATGCATTTGAACATGCATGGCCTCTAGTGTCCACCAGGGGGCGCTGCAGAAACCTCCACACGAGGGGAGTTTATCTCGGTTACAAAAGTGGACCAAAATTAAAAACTTGGTCCGAGCCAAAGGCCAAATTCAGTCGATAGATTAACTGAAGTCAGAGAAGTGACATGTTTTACTGCAGGTTTATCAACAAGAGTCTCATTTGATGTTTTCTCTTGTTCTTTCCACATAAAAATAAATAAACAAATAACCACCAAAATAAATCACCAGTGACTGATAGGACTGTGACAATAAAAATAACTAAAGCCTGAAGATGAAGTTTATAATTTAATGTTAAACGATCACAAACACAGAAAAAATACAACAATAAAAATTAACTTTTTTTTATAGAATAAAAGTTTTAGATAAAGCTGAATCTTTTCAGATAATTCTTGGGTGAAAGTTTCATGCAGGTAGCCTACATCTCCCACAAACCCTGGCCCTCAAACGCGCACGCGCGGACACTCACCTGGGAATCCTTTGGACCAGGAGCATCCTCCCACGTCCAGCACCGTCTCGAACGGTGTGTCCGGGTAATAAGTCTTCAGGGAGGGGACTCGGAGGCACTGAGCCAGCTTCACCTCGCAGTGACACTCCTGGATGACCTCCACCTCCCGGGGTCCCTCGACCAGCAGCACACGGTCCACGCGCACCCCGACCGGCCCGCACACCTGGTTCGTCCCGCACGACGGGAGCTGCGGGTTCAAACGCCCCGAGGTCTCTGACGGAGCGGGTCTGTGGGGCCTCATCTGCGGGGAATTGTTTGGGTTAAACATGTCAAGTTACATCAAAGTTCATTTGTCGTAATTGACACAAATCAGGTCACGTGAGGACAACAGAGCGCGGTACCACGGCGCCCTCTAGTGGCAGAACTGAAAACTACAGCAGCTTCTGAGTCCCACCTTTCTGCTCCTGAGGAACTCCAGCATTGAGGAATGCTTCAGGTGTTCCTGCTGTCCTGCTTCATGTGATGGTCTTATTGTTGCCCCACAGTGTGACCTGCACACTCCCACATCCACACTCACAGACCGACCAGAAGAATCTGAGCAGAGACACGGAAAACTTTATATTTCAACAAGACAAACGAAACATGCATTTTATAATTATTATTATTTATTATAAAAGGCAGCGTGAATGCTAGAGGGTGAAGGGCTTTGCTGCAGAAGCTGAAACTGGGCTGTTAAAAGCTGAAAGAAGCAGAACACCAACTAATAGCTAACAATAGCAAAAATCCTACAAAGTACTTAAAATCTAAATAATGAGTACAGTATAGTAAAATAATAAAAAGTCAGCAGTAAAAAGATTAGTGTGGCAAAAAGATAGCTAAAATTTAAATACAGTAAATGGCCAAATGTAGCAAAACAGATGGCTAAAATTAATTTATGTAAAAGTTTTAAAAATACTTGTAAAAGGCTAAATGTAGCAAGGGAATAGCTAAAAGTAGCAAAAACAATAAAAGCAAAAACTGGAAAGGGTTAATTAAAATGATCAAAAAGTTAAATAAAAGTTTCAAAATACAAGCTAAAAACTAAATATGGCAGAATGTTTTTCAAAACTAGATCTGAAAATAGCTTGAGACAACGCAAGTACACGCAAGTAGATTTTAAAATAATGTTATGAAGGAATAAAGATATCTTAAATGTATTTTTAAGGGGAAATATTAAAAAATCATGCTTTGAAAAATATAAAACGTTACAAAAACTTAACGTCAAACCATCCATTTCCCAAATGAGTGAAACATTTTGATATAATTAGAGGTTAAAATACAATATATGCAGAAGTAACATGCATATGCTCAGTCAGCAGTCATAAAATAATTAGTTTCTCTTCATTTAGATTCTCATATGAAAGTTACGCTTGCTTAGTTTTCTGTTCTTTTAAAGACAGAGACAATGACACAAAAATAAACTTCACTTGTTCCAGTTTTCCTGGAATAAACACGTTTCACCTTACCTTGTCCAATGTGCACAAAGTGACTCTGTCTCTTGCAGCACAGTCGTGCAAGCAGGTTCTTCTGATCAATGTGTCTGCTGAACACTCCACTCACTAGAAAACACAAACATGAACCAGTTGTTCCATCACAAACTTTCAGCTGTTGGTGATAATCCCTAACGGGCAACACATTTCTGCAAAACCTACCCATCCCAATGTACAACAGAGAAATTACTTGAAATCATTATAATGCCTCTCTGGTCATTTTTTAGTCTTAATTTGCAAGAAAAAATAATCAAAAGAAAATCAACTCCAATTTAAAGTTAAATATGAGAGCACACATGTTACCACATTTACCAGTTAACAGTTTGTAAACTGGCGACCGTCCACAGGATAAACTGCACTTACAGATAAGTTGGAGTCCACAGAGGAAGAGGAGGAGATGTTGGAGGAAATCCATGATTTCATCTGAATCTGTTCCTCAGCTGAACCTCAGAGCTTCTGCAGCCTCAGATATTTATACAG